TCAAACAAATTCAACCTCAACATATATAACCAAATATTCCAAACAATTCACAGGGTTATTTGACAAATTGGCCGAAATAAAAATATTACAAAACATCTAATGAACATAGACCATCATATGTAACACCTTATCGTCCACTATGAAATGGTGACATGACATGGTTTGCTATGCCATCACAAGCTGCTGAATTGCTCATACTAGTGCCACCACTATAAGCATCTGAAAGTTGATCTCCAAGCAAATACTGAGTCTCTTCTAAATTTTTCTTGCCATTTAACCATGAGTTTTTCTCCATCATTCTCAATCCCTCTAGCTCCATTGCCACTTCCTTCATGGTTGGCCTTTCGTCTCCTTTCACTCTTAAGCATCTCTTTGTTAAAATAGCAACTTCCTCTAGTTGGTCAGCCTTTGCATCATTTATCACCTGTTCATCAACAATTTCAAACAAGCGATCTTCTTTCATTGCTGAAATAAAATACATTGCTAAATTTCTATCTGCTTCAGGCCTGTCAAAAGAAATTGCTTTCTTGCCGGTTAGCAATTCCACAAGGACAACCCCAAAGCTGTAAACATCACTCCTTTCAGTCAATTGGCTTGTTTGGAAGTACTCTGGGTCCAAGTAACCAAGTGTACCTTGAACCAATGTGGTTAATTGAGTTTGGTCTACGGGGATCAACCTTGAAGAGCCAAAATCGGATACTTTTGCAACGTAATTGTTGTCTAATAGTATGTTAGTGGACTTAACATCTCTATGAATGATAGGAGTGCTAGCAGCAGAGTGCAAATATGAAAGGGCTGCTGCAGTTTCTGTTGCTATCCTTAAACGATTCTCCCATGTTATTGAGGATGTGCCACCTACAGTGTGTATGTGGTCATAGAGAGTCCCATTGGTAATAAATTCATAGACTAGTAAAGGAACTTGTGTCTCCAAACAACATCCTAGGAGTTTCACAACATTCCTATGGTTGACTTGGGAGAGAACTATGACTTCGTTAATGAATTGCTCAATCTGGGACTGGCTCTGTTCTGTTACTTTGGACTTCTTAATGGCAACTACGGTGTTGTCTGGTAATACTCCCTTGTAGACTGTTCCTTGGCCACCTTGGCCCAGGATTCTACTTTCATGGTAGTTATTTGTTGCCTTCTTAAGGTCCTCTGCAGTAAAGATTTTAGATGGCTGTACTGATCCTTCACGTATGGAAAGTTGTTGTTGTAACATGATCCCACCATTTTGCTGAAAGAACTTCTCTCTGAGATTTATGATATTCCTTTGCCTATATCCCCAATATAGCCAGGAGGCACTAAGAAGTAGCAATGATACGCTTATGCTTATGCCTGTAGGGATTGGAATGGAGATGTCAATATTGAGAATTCAAGTTTCAAATTAGTTTATGATCAAACGAAAAAGCTACTAACCCCCAAGAGTAAAGTGTATCATAGATTTAAATTTGGTGTGGAATGCACAACACCTAGAATGAATCTAGTTACACATTTCATTTTCTGGGTGCAATTTCAGCCTCTTTTTTTTTTTAATTTATTTATTTATTTTTTTAAATTCCATTCTTCTTTGACTTACCAAACACAACCAAGACATGAAAATGGAAAAATAAGATGAGAGAATTGGTTGTTCAGCTTTCTACTTAAATCATCAAGATAATATGAGTATTTGAGGGCCTGACAAATTGAAAGGCCAATTGGTACCACTTGACCAACAAAGCCCTTTAGTAATTTTTCTTGTGGGTACATTGGCTGTAACATGAAAAGTAGTTGTCTGTGGCAATACTCGAATTTTAACATCCCAATAAAGTGTTAGGATTCTGTCCCATCTGACCTAATCCCAGTTCATTAAGCCCTTAATGATCTTGAAGTAATTTAAAATTGATAAAAAAGTAAATGATGTAAAAGTTTTGGAAATAGGTTGTTTCATATCGAGTATGGGTCCTTCACGGCTGATCCAACATTTGGAAATTCTCCTAAATTATCAAATTTGATTCAAACTGTTAAATTGATCCATCAACTTGTTATCTAACCACACTGCATCAGCTAGGCTTTTAAATGATGATAAAATCATTTGTTTGTGATGATGAAACGAAAAGGTAAAGTGGTACCGGTGGTACTTCATTTATATAGTATGTGTAGATGTGCTCCAAACTGCAAAATTTTATCATTCATTGTTTGTTTTGCATTGGTAACTACCTTTCAAGACAATCATTTGATGCTCAAAGTCTAAAATCAAACAAATTCAACCTCAACATATATAACCAAATATTCCAAACAATTCACAGGGTTATTTGACAAATTGGCTGAAATAAAAATATTACAAAACATCTAATGAACATAGACCATCATATGTAACACCTTATCGTCCACTATGAAATGGTGACATGACATGGTTTGCTATGCCATCACAAGCTGCTGAATTGCTCATACTAGTGCCACCACTATAAGCATCTGAAAGTTGATCTCCAAGCAAATACTGAGTCTCTTCTAAATTTTTCTTGTCATTTAACCATGAGTTTTTCTCCATCATTCTCAATCCCTCTAGCTCCATTGCCACTTCCTTCATGGTTGGCCTTTCGTCTCCTTTCACTCTTAAGCATCTCTTTGTTAAAATAGCAACTTCCTCTAGTTGGTCAGCCTTTGCATCATTTATCACCTGTTCATCAACAATTTCAAACAAGCGATCTTCTTTCATTGCTGAAATAAAGTACATTGCTAAATTTCTATCTGCTTCAGGCCTGTCAAAAGAAATTGCTTTCTTGCCGGTTAGCAATTCCACAAGGACAACCCCAAAGCTGTAAACATCACTCCTTTCAGTCAAATGGCTTGTTTGGAAGTACTCTGGGTCCAAGTAACCAAGTGTACCTTGAACCAATGTGGTTAATTGAGTTTGGTCTACGGGGATCAACCTTGAAGAGCCAAAATCGGATACTTTTGCAACGTAATTGTTGTCTAATAGTATGTTAGTGGACTTAACATCTCTATGAATGATAGGAGTGCTAGCAGCAGAGTGCAAATATGAAAGGGCTGCTGCAGTTTCTGTTGCTATCCTTAAACGATTCTCCCATGTTATTGAGGATTTGCCACCTACAGTGTGTATGTGGTCATAGAGAGTCCCATTGGTAATAAATTCATAGACTAGTAAAGGAACTTGTGTCTCCAAACAACATCCTAGGAGTTTCACAACATTCCTATGGTTGACTTGGGAGAGAACTATGACTTCGTTAATGAATTGCTCAATCTGGGACTGGCTCTGTTCTGTTACTTTGGACTTCTTAATGGCAACTACGGTGTTGTCTGGTAATACTCCCTTGTAGACTGTTCCTTGGCCACCTTGGCCCAGGATTCTACTTTCATGGTAGTTATTTGTTGCCTTCTTAAGGTCCTCTGCAGTAAAGATTTTAGATGGCTGTACTGATCCTTCACGTATGGAAAGTTGTTGTTGTAACATGATCCCACCATTTTGCTGAAAGAACTTCTCTCTGAGATTTATGATATTCCTTTGCCTATATCCCCAATATAGCCAGGAGGCACTAAGAAGTAGCAATGATACGCTTATGCTTATGCCTGTAGGGATTGGAATGGAGATGTCAATATTGAGAATTCAAGTTTCAAATTAGTTTATGATCAAACGAAAAAGCTACTAACCCCCAAGAATAAAGTGTATCATAGATTTAAATTTGGTGTGGAATGCACAACACCTAGAATGAATCTAGTTACACATTTCATTTTCTGGGTGCAATTTCAGCCTCTCTTTTTTTTTTAATTTATTTATTTATTTTATTTATTTATTTTTTTAAATTCCATTCTTCTTTGACTTACCAAACACAACCAAGACATGAAAATGGAAAAATAAGATGAGAGAATTGGTTGTTCAGCTTTCTACTTAAACGTTAGTTTGCTGAAACGAAGATGCAATGAAACTGGAGATATATCATGTTCAAAGTGTTTCTTATCTTTGCATCAATAATTGGGGACTGTAAACTTCAAACTAAAGATGAGAGTCCAAATCACAAGCATCGATGGATTGAACATTGATGAAAATTTAGGCCAAGTTTGGGAAGACTAAATAAGTGCACTTTTTGACTTTCTATGAAATATGGGTTGGGTTTGGGTTGGGTTTGAAGTGATGTGACTTAAATAAAATGATGTGATTTAAATAGAATAGTGAATTTTTGGATTTTTTAAGAGTTTCCAAACTTGGCCTTAATCTGCTGACAATAATATAATTAAAAGCATGTGGGTGTAGGTGTACCTACCCAGTGCAATCTTAATCAAGGGAAGGTTGTTGGAATCTGGAATTGGACTGCAACCTGATCCATCTGTTCTTCCATCACCTTCATAGCCCTCTGGACAAGAACAACTGTATGTGCCAGGTAAATTGTGGCATGTGATGTTGCAGGGGCTTGGGCTTGAAATAATGCACTCATCAATATCTGAAACAGAGAACCACCAAGTTTGATCTTTGATGCCAAATTCGATAGCTACAATTAAGAAGAAATTGAAAGCTTTCAACATAGTTGTTGTTACCTGTACAACCATTAGGAGAATAAGGGTTCCCTTCATATCCCTGGGAGCAATTGCAGCGATACCCAGGACCATTGTCAAAGTCATAACAGTCGCTATTAGCCTTGCAAGCAAAACTAGTAAGATTTTTTTTGGCTTCATCACATCTTTGGTTCCCTACAGCCCAATCAAGCACCACTGGAACCATTGATCTATTTTGTAAGTTTGCAAGATCTATAGAAGAGAAGGTATAATTAGTTTCCTCGGCTACAAAAGCATAACTGCACGGATTGAACTCCCAAACACGAGTATGGTTGTCATGGCTACTGACATTGAATTTGAAACTCGTCAATTCCTTTGGGATACTTTTCTCACAGCAGCCAATGCCAGAACAAGAGCTGTTGATCACGTTGTCGATGCTGTCACATTGTGACAAGCAACCCGTGCTATAGTTTTGTCCCTCAAAACCCTCAATAACACCGTAGGTGTCACAGCCTATGGCAATGAACTTATTTCGGGTGATTGAGATGGGAAATTTGCCAGATCTGACTGAGATTTGATTTTTGGAAACCTGAAGACCTTGTTTGTTGTAGCAATCAAGAGCTATCGAGGATGATATGTGTAATTCACCAGAAAGAAGTATGTCTGTTATCTCTATGCTACCCTCACTTGTATTTAAATACAGCTTGTGAGGGTCGGAGGAGTGGTCACAAGTAACATGAAAATGTTCTTCCATGTAGCATCCTTCCTTTGTGCCAAATGGGTACATGATGTTAACGTCACCGCAACTAGTTGGGCAACCAGATGAGGTTTCAGCGGCGGCGGCAACAGTAGCAGCAGCAAGAACAGCTGCTCCCAAAACCCATGCTAACATAGGCTGCAGAAGCATCCTAGGTAAATACATGGGTAGAGTTGGCTTTCTAGGAATGAGAGAGTTTTGCAGTTGTATATATCATTCTAAGCTGCAGGAGCAATTTAGGAAGAACCAGAAAACTCAGTAGGCTGTGTTTGAAAAATAAACGACGACTTCATCGAAATATGTCTAGTCTTTCTTAACAACCTGTTGACAATGTCACATTAAGAATATCTTAATTTTCTCAAGTTAGGAAATTTCATACTTTGGTTAAGCAAGTTTCTACGTTACGTCATATAATAATCACTAATGACAAGCTTTGTGATTCAACACATGACGAAAAGTATAGGATGGGCTTGACAAAGTACTTCAGGTCATTGTCACCACGAAAATTAATCATATATGTACTTTTTCGCAGGTATTAAAAGTCTTCTCTGCTTTTATTCTTCGATAGATATATCCTAGGACCTTCGTGAGATGGCTACTTTTCTTTGAATTACTCATCAGTATTTTCCTTCTCATCTACTTAGACATTCACACCATGAACGAACTTAATTTGTTTTTGTTTTCTTCTCTTTCATTTTTTAAGTCTTACCTCACGCAAAAATATGAGTTCCCCCCTTGTGTTTATACCTTGATCCCACTATTTTTGTCTAGTGATCAAAATTTTGTTCATTCATAGCATTATTATTTGTTTATTTTATTTTAAAACTTCCAGTTAGTATTGGTTTCCTCGGCCACCCATGGGCCAATAGCTGACTGAGTCATTTGCATTCACGGAAAAGTACGAAAAAATTTCTCCAATAATATCATACAACAAAAAAAACCTACAAAAAAATTCATTTCCCATGCACCCACTAAATCTTATAGACTTTTTTATTATATTTTTTGATTCAATGGTAAGAACTTACGTGCACATCGACTAGTCGCCTCTTAGGTCACGCCGAGATTACGGAATTTACAAGAAATTTTTTTTCTTGTGGTCTGGCCTCAAAAGTTGAACCTTGGGTGTGAAGCATAACAGTCAACCGAAAATGATTCGTAGCTCGAATGCGTAGAGCTCGAATGGCTTGAATGGTACGGAAAATATTATCTTACCGATAAGAGAATAAAACAAAACCCTAAAACGACGTCGTTTTGGAATTTCAAGCCATTCGAGCCTTTAATGTTTCGTGCTACGTAGCGGAGTTGAACAGTCAACCATTTAGGACAATTTTCAAGGTTACTCAAACTTATAATTCAATTGTTTAAAGTTAACACATGGTCCTGTGTTAGCCACAATTCTGGACATTAATACAAGCAGCTCCATTTTCCATCTCAATACATTGGTATGAAGTTGGTTTAAACGTGAAGTTGATGAATTTGAACAAAAACATTGTAAGACTAAATTTGCAAAAATATTTAAAAAAAATTCTACTAGTTTTATGTTTTTTTTTTTTTTTTTTTTTTTTTTTTTTTTTTTTTTTGAAACTTTAAAATATTTCAAAAAAAATAATATTTTCTTTTGTTTTAGGTTGATTTGGATAAACATTTGAAATATAGGTGTTGGAAAATTTTAGAAGCGAATGGGAATTGACTCTATTTGAATAAAAGGATGTAATCTTTCATGGTGTCTATTCATATGAAAGGGTATAAACCCAAGAGACATGACTATTCTAAAGGTCACGAGTACTTCTATAAATATCATCACATTCTATGGCTTTGATGCATAAATTAAGATTTGTTTTAAAATTCATACGTTATGTCTAGTCGTGTATATAAGACACAATGCATGGCACAAATTGATTCATTGTATACACAGAAAGTTGTGCAATTTCTGTGTGGGGTGATCATTGTATCCTGAAGACAGGACGTCCATTAATCCCAAGTACCAGAGGTGAGGGCGAAATTCTATCTTAAAGACATAGAGTTCAAACACTGGCTTCGGTCACAATCTATATTAAATTTGCAAAATTTTTATAAGAAAATTTCTATGTTTTTTTTATTATTATTATTTATTTATATTAAATTAATTTTACCGAAAATATTTTTCCTAAACATGATGAAATTATGATGGAAATGGCATAATTATGATATGAAAGCCAAAGCGTACTGCAACACATTTCTTTTATGCAATATTGAACATTTCTCAAGCAATTTATTCAACATGTCATAATCGTGTTATGTCTTTTACTAGACCAAAACATGTCACTAAGGCGGTGTTTGGGAACTTGATTTTTGGGTTTTTTTTAAAAAAAATTACACTACAAGACAAATGTTTTACAAAACCAAAAAAAAAATAAACCCAAACAAAATATCACATCAAATCCCATAATCATTTCACTTTTTCTCTCACAAACATTACATCCAACCATAAAAAAACCTAACTATCTTTCTAAACACAAAAAAAAAAAAAATTCTCCAATAATATCATACAACAAAAAAAATCTACAAAAAAATTCACTTCCCATACACCCACTAAATCTTATAGACTTTTTTATTATATTGTTTGATTCAATGGTAAGAACTTACATGCACATCGACTAGTCGCCTCTTAGGTCACGCCGAGATTACGGAATTTACAAGAAAATTTTTTTCTTGTGGTCTGGCCTCAAAAGTTGAACCTTGAGTGAGAAGCATAACAGTCAACCGAAAATGATCCGTAGCTCGAATGCGTAGAGCTCGAATGGCTCGAATGGTACGGAAAATATTATCTTACCGGTAAGAGAATAAAAAAAAATCCTAAAACGACGTCGTTTTGGGATTTCGAGCCATTCGAGCCTTTGATGTTTCGAGCTACGTAGCGGAGTTGAACAGTCAACCATTTAGGACAATTTTCAAGGTTAATCTTATAATTCAATTGTTTAAAGTTTAACACATGGTCCTGTGTTAGCCACAATTCTGGACATTAATACAAGCAGCTCCATTTTCCATCTCAATACATTGGTATGAAGTTGGTTTAAACGTGAAGTTGATGAATTTGAACAAAAACATTGTAAGACTAAATTTGCAAAAGTATTTAAAAAAAATTCTACTAGTTTTATGTATTTTTTTTTTTTTTGAAAATTTAAAATATTTCAAAAAAAATAATATTTTCTTTTGTTTTAGGTTGATTTGGATAAACATTTGAAATATAGGTGTTGGAAAATTTTAGAAGCGAATGGGAATTGACTCTATTTGAATAAAAGGATATAATCTTTCATGGTGTCTATTCGTATGAAAGGGTATAAACCCAAGAGACATGACTATTCTAAAGGCCGCGAGTACTTCTATAAATATCATCCCATTCTATGGCTTTGATGCATAAATTAAGATTTGTTTTAAAATTCATACGTTATGTCTAGTCGTGTATATAAGAGACAATGCATGGCACAAATTGATTCATTGTATACACAGAAATTTGTGCAATTTCTGTGTGGGGTGATCGTTGTATCCTGCAGACAGGACGTCCATTAATCCCAAGTACTAGAGGTGAGGGCGAAATTCTATCTTAAAGACATAGAATTCAAACACTGGCTTCGGTCACAATCTATATTAAATTTGCAAAATTTTTATAAGAAAATTTCTATGTTTTTTTTATTATTATTATTTATTTATATTAAATTAATTTTACCGAAAATATTTTTCCTAAACATGATGAAATTATGATGGAAATGGCATAATTATGATATGAAAGCCAAAGCGTACTGCAACACATTTCTTTTATGCAATATTGAACATTTCTCAAGCAATTTATTCAACATGTCATGGATTCAAATTATAGACTTCTTTTTTGGGAGGTGGGGTAGGAAATTAAAGACTTGAAAGAAAGATAATCATTACATAACTGTTGTAATTTTTTGGGTTCATCTTCTTTGGTTGGAGCCATTAGTTTGCTCTAGCAATCTAGTTGACCAACGTTTGAAGCATTCAAGGCCGGCCATCTTGAGCCCGTAAATTCTTGCAAAAATTAGGTCTCGAAATATTTTTAATCCAATGAATATTGGTGATTTTATTTTTACCTAAAAAATTATTCAATATGCTTAATTTCTCAATACTCTTTATCAAATTATTTAAAATTATAATTTATTCTCAATATATTCTGTCATTTTTAGAAATTACATTTCAAGATAAAATAATAATTTATGATACACCAAAATAATAAATAAATAAAAAATATTAAATTCCACCATTTAAAAACTCTTAGACAGATTTCTTAAACATCTTCCATGTTTAATGATGCGGGGCAAGTTGCAAAGCTTCAGTGGAAGAGAATGGTGGATGATATATCCAACAAGGGGAAGTTAAAAAATTATCTAGCAGTCTGTGATGTATTGAGTAGTATATGAAAGGCATTCTATTAGAGGTCTCTGTTGCTCTTGGTGTGTTGGTTTTAGAACCAAGGGAAGAGCCATGGAAAAGGAAACTCATTACATTTAGCAAAAACCCAAAGCTTTATATAGTGGAAGGCGACGATTTGATATCGAAGATTTAAGTTTGTAAGGCTTATGAAATTGTGGATGAACGCTAATTTCTAGGCGGCGTTAGATTTGATATTGCAAGTGGCTGTAAATGGGAACTTGAGCGAAGATATGGTCAAGAAAATGTTAGTGTTCAGCGACATCACTACAAGAAAAGTGAGTTTATGAGACGGAACTATTTGCGACGGCACACTTGCCGTCTCAAAAAGTCACTTTTTGCCCAAAAGGCGGAAGTAGCATTTATATGAAGAAAGATGGATTACGAAATCAAAATACTGGAATGCACATATGAAAAACAAAACTGAAAACATTTAAAACATAAACATTTAATATTTAAATTAAAATATAACTTACAATTACAATTGTAGCAACTGCAAGGATCTTAACTAGGTGCAAAGGGAAAATCTGAAGGAACACTCAGTACACTCTGGTTTCTTACAACAATGAAGGGGAAGAAAATTTTCGAATGGAATATTGATGGTCTTAGTGAAGATCAAATCCTTCAAAAATTAAATCATTTATCTATGGTAGCAAATAGTTACCTTAGTAATTATCCCAAATATTCTCAACCTGAAATAGTTACCTTAGTACATGAATCTGAACATGATTCTGATCCTAATCCGGATAACTTAATATTTGATAACCCATCACGTCAATCTCAATCCAATAACCCTGAAGAAAAACGATTAAGTTTAATCAACAAACTTTACATTCAAAAGTGGTATTCTAAAATCAAAATAATTGTTAATGATTCGGCAAAAAATGCCGTCTCAAAAAAACAGAGTATTTGCGATGGCACCATTTGCCGTCTCAAAAAAGCAGAGCATTTGCGACGGCATTATTTTCCGTCTCAAAAAATGAGAGTATTTGCGACGGCAGAAAATACCGTCGCAAATACTCTCAATTTTTGAGACGGCAAATTGTGCCGTCGCAAATGTTCTGCTTTTTTGAGACGGCATTTTCTGCCGTCGCAAAAAGTGACTTTTGTGTTTTTTTTTTGTTCTAATTGGAGCAGTTCTTCTCTGGATAACTTGGGCTTGACCTTTGATTTAGCTTTGGGCTGAGCAGGAGGTGAAATGGGCTTAGCTGTAGCTTTGGATTTTTGGGACTGGTCTTTGGGCTGGGCCGGAGCTGTAGAAGCTTTGGTCTTAGCCTTTGATTTTGAATGTGTTGATTGAACAGTTTTGGATTTGGGCTTGGAACCACTGGATGAGGGGCTTCCAAGATTGATTGGAGGAAGGCTGGGTAGACTTCTTTGACTGATTGCAGCAGTTGGGATCTGCTGGGCTTTGACCATTGCAGGGGTTGGAGCACATTGATCAGATGGAAATTCTTCACGAACAATTTCAAATATGCGGGGCAAATTGAATTTAGCCCACCATTTGACTGAGTGATGTCGGATAATTATGTTACCATCAATCCCATAATGCCATTTAAATATCCAAGGGATTTTATACTTGGCTATAAAAATTAACAATATGTTTTTTCGCTTTAATTTGTCAGTTTATTATTATTATTATTA